AAGGACCATTAAGGAAAATTAAAAACTTATTTTCTTATAAATTGGAGAATCCAGATGGTATTTAAATATTTGTAAAAACATGTGACTTACACAAATGATAGCCAAAGGGTATAGAAAAGCTAAGTGGATAAAAAAAGCAGTAATATTGAATTAACAATAAAAACCTTTGTGACAAAGAAAATTCTGGTACTGGTTGGATATTTGGCTGCATTCTATAAGACCTTTAAAGAAGAAAACTTCTCAAGACTCTCTAACTTGTTTCATGAGATTAAAAAGGGGATAATATTTACAACTTTATTCTATGAAAGCAGAAACATTCTGATACTAAAACCAGATAACAAAAAATAAAGGAACAAAAACTGCAGGCCAACATCCTTGCAGTGTCTCATGGCAGATAAAAAGGACTGAAAGGCAAAATTAATCAGAAGAGACAAAGAAGACTAGTTCATACTGCTTAAGGAATCTACAGATTCAATGCTATCCCCATCAAAATGCCAATGAAATTCTTCACAGAACTGGGAAAACAGTCCTAAAATTCATTTGGAAGAATAAAAGATGTAGAATAGCCAAAACTTTTGAGCAATAAGCACAATGCTAGAGGCATCAAAATGTCCTTCAAATTATATTACAGAGCTATAGTAACAAGACCAGTATGGAACTGGCATATAAGTAGACATGAGGACCAATTAAGCAGAATAGAAGACACAGAGAAAATCTGCAAAGATACACTCATGATCCTTGTCAATGGTGCTGAAAACATATAGTAGAGAAGATATTCTTTTGAAGAAATGGTGCTGGGAAAGCTGAATATTCATATGTAGAAGAATGAAATTATATTCTTACCTCTCATCTGACATAATTGTCAAGTCAAGTGGTTCAAGGACATAGAATTTAAAACAGAAACTCAGAAACTGCTAGAAGAAAACATTAGTTCAACATTCCAATATATTAGTGCAGGTATTGATCCTACAGCATAAAAAATAAAACAAAGAATCAATAAGTTGGATGGTATGAAATTTTAAAAACAAATTGCAGAGCACAGGAAACAAGAACATGAAGAGAGATTCTGCTGAATAAGAGAAAATATTTGCCAACTGCTCTTCCTACAGGGAATTAATATTCATAATACATAAAGAACCCACAAAACCTTAAAATCAGAAAAACACATGATAAATAAATGAGCAAAACAAATAAGACCTATTTCTCAAAAGAAGAAATACAAGTACATTAAAAAGTTCAATATTCTTAGCAATCATGGAAATGCAAATCAATGCTATACTGGGATTTCATCTCACCCCAGTTAGAATGTATACAAATAACAATAAATGATGATGAGAATGAGGGGGAGAGGTATACTTGTACAATGTTGGTGTAACTGTAAATTCCTACAACCACTGTGGACACCAGTATGAAGATCACTCAGAAGACTAGAAAAAGAATCACCATGTGACTCAGATATACCACTCCTCTCTATCTATCCACAAAAACTAAAATCAGCATTCTATAGTGATACATGCATACCCATCTTTATGGCAACATAATTCACAATACCCAAGTTATGGAACCATCCTTGATGTCCATCAACAGATAAGAGGATAAAGAAAATGTGATACATATACAAAGTGGAGTTTTACTTCAACAACAACAAAAAAATGAAATTAAGTCATTTTCAGGGAAATGGATGGATCTGGAGCACATCAAGGTAAGTGAAATAAACCATCCTTAGATCAGTGGTCAAATGTTCTTTCTCATATGCAGAAATGGGAGAGGGAAAAAAGAAATAAAAAAGGGATCCACAAAAATTTAAAAGAGACCAATAGAGTAGTGAAAGGAAATGTAAAAGTAAACAAGGAGATGTATGTAGTTGGAAATAAAATCAACCAAATTATGATATTGCCATGATAAAAGGTACCACAATGATTCCATTTTATATATATAATTTAAATCACTAATTAAAATATAATAGAAGAGGGACCAGTGGAGGAGAGGAAGGGGATCATGGTGAGGGAGTAGGGAATAAAGAAGGGGAGATACTGGGGAATAAGGTAGATCAAATTATGCTGTGTGCATCTATGAATGCCAGTATCATATGTAGTTGTAATAGATTAATAAAAATTTTTAAAACTAAGTTTTAATTTGATTCTGTTATTTCTTATTTTAGGGACCTGATAAAATTAGTATGATTTTTAGTACAATTTGTGGTAACAACCACTGTTATGCTCTCTCTCTGTACTTTTTAAAAAATGAAAATACTTAGTGACTATGAAGATGCTTGATGAAAACTAAATGTATTTAATAAACATAAAATGACAAAACAATAAAACATTTTCCATCACATCAAGAAGCACCTGAAGATTAGATAGCCACAACTATGTCACGTAGTTTTGTGTATAGCTTTCAAAGAAAAATGCCCAACAGAGAATATTTGGGGGATTTGCAACTTTGGAGGTGATAAAAGATGAGAGAAAGAATTATTTATTTTTAGTTTTTGGCAGGTATAACATCCTTGATTGTATGTGGTGCTGAGGATCGAACCCGGGCCGCATGCATGCCAAGCGAGCGTGCCACTGCTTGAGCCACATCCCCAGCCCCTTCCTTTCCTGTCTTTAGAAAGCCTAAGATAGGCTTTGATGTTCCTCCTCCCAAAAAGCTGGCTCAGTGGAGGAGGCCCATTTGGTGAGGAATGACTCTCAGACAGATGATTACAGATTGAGAGAGTGAGATGATTTCTGGCAGACAAGAGGGTGTACCCTGTGGTGCACTCATCCATGATGTCATTCATGATTATAATAAATCTGAAAACTGGTGACGTTGCTGTTCCCATTACATAGATGAGAGTGTCCAGGCAGACTGAGCTGTTTGTGTATCAGATTCCACCACAGTGGCAGAAGTAGGAGTGCTTTCAGTCTACATGGGACCTTAAGTAAGCAAAAATATTTTGGGGGTGCTTATTTTAGGAAAAGAACCCTTTATAAATCAGCATTTCTTTTGCCCTTACAAAGAACTTGGAGAAGGTCTGAACAGCCAAGTGTCCCTCATGCTCCAGTGCTATGGGTGCCATAGTCAAAGTGTGTCCAACCAACAAGGCTGCGAATAGGAAGGACTCCATGTGTGCCATCCCAGCTGTGCAGGTGTACTGCATGCAGGCATCATTTCCCATTTGCCCAGTTATGGTACCAGGCAACAGGACAATGTGTTTCTTGGCTTAATTGAGTAACTGGTAGGTATTAGATTGAAGGAGAATGAAGGTGATGTGGTAAATACCATGTGAGAGTTGACTACACTTCCATTGTCTTTGATCAGGTGGATGTCAGAGTCAGCTCGGTGGCTGATTATCAACAACAAACCCGAGGAGGGCTTACAGGAACTTAAAAAAGCTGCACGGGTGAATGGAA